TATATATATATATATATATATATCTTTCTCTAGCTCTCCCTCAATATGGATCCTGGCTCTCAGTTTACGTCAACCCTTCAGGTAGATACAAGTACGAGATGCGCGGGACACCACGTTAGGTTTCGCGTTTCTGAAGCGTTTTGGCTTTATAGTTCGACGTGATGGGTACTTGTGACAGCAGCAGAGCAAGCACCTGCCGCGCTATCATACTCGCCAGTAAGACTGCACTTTAATCGTTAGACACTACGCGCACTTTGACCCAAGCGAAGCTGTACCACTGTTTTTTCTCGTTTGTCTTCGTACCTTTCGTTTCGTAACTTATTGAGTAACCTTGGTGAAAATTAGATATACGATCTTGATAAATCGATTTACTCGTGGCTCTTCGTTTCTATATCCATGTGTACATACGCATTTATGCACACCCGTTTATGCGTAAATGGGCTTGTATGATGTGCGTATTATGTTTACTTGTATATTCGTTTGACAAGTACATTTATGCGTGTGTGACGATTGTAGCGATGGTGCTGGAAAGGAAGACAGTGTATCATTGACGTAGATCAGTCTTCGATCAATCGGCGATCGAGCAACTTCCCATTGCCGTTGTCATTGGTGCTGATTACATAATAGCTCCTTGCTCGTCTGAAAGTAAATATAACGTTCCACACTTAGTAATTTGCAATTACATATTTAGTTATATTACTAACATTATAATCAACGTTATTCTTAATTTTAATTTAACTTATTTGCGCAGCATTATATCGGTTAATTACTGAACATGAAAAAGAAACAAAATTTTGTAATAATTTCCATTTGTTGCAGTTGTTGGTACAAAGCACGGTTATAAATAACATCCTTTGATATTTGTAATACAATAATCTCAGTTTTTTTATTTTCAATGATAATTAGAGTATCTATGTATTCTTGTATGTACTCTACTATCAATGCAACGATTCTACGATATATTATTTAACTTTGTTCTGCATAAGAATGAAAAAATTATAAAATTCAAGAACGTACATTAAATCTTTTTTATTTATTTAATTAAGCTCATATATTTTTCTTTTAAGTACATTATTTTAATTTCAATTATGACACTTTTGTAAATAACAGCACTCTGAATATATAAGTAAAATTTTAATGTTAAATTATAATTATAAAAACATTTGATTCGAATAGGCGTTTTATTTAGATATTTTCATATGGATATGATGTTTGTTTACAAAGAGATTCGTCTTAAATGTAATTACCAGATAATAAATTATTTGCAGGTAGCAATATATGTATTATCGAGCAATAAATTTTGAAAAATGATAATATCTACATTGAAACCATATTGAATATCATTGGGCTCTGACATTTTTGATAATTTAAAGAAAAATTTATGCAAATATAGTTTTTATAAATTTATGATTTTGATAGCAAATATAAATTTTAACTTTATACTTGGACGTAAAAAGAACATTATGTATAAAACACATCAAGTTTTTAAAGCAATTATATAAATTAATTATGAAATCTAAATAATAAGTTGAAAACATATTTCCATACTATTTTTTGTTAAAAATTTAATAAGTAAAAATGATTGTAATAAGATTTAACGAGTATTTGTGCAAGAAATGAATGAAAACTTTTTTATAAATTCATTAAGTGAGCATTCTCCTTTTTTCTAATGGCCAGTTTAACATAAGCTAGATCAAAGAAATGGAACTTTTATTTCTAAACATAAATAATAATAAATAATAAATAATAAATAATAAAAAAATAATAAATCAATAATACAATACAAATTAACACCAAAGTGGGAAGTAGAGCAGAAGGAGATGGAACATGAAGATAATCAGGATTCGCAAGTATTCATACCTGTAAATGTATGTACATACTCAAGCTGGTGCAAGCGCGCATGTGTGCCTTTATATTGCGGTAAAAAAGAGAGAGAAAAAGGGAAGTAATAAAGAAATGGTCAGTGAAGGACACACTTTTTAGCTCGGGTTCGACAATCTGAGCAAATACAAATAAGGGAGCTTCATTCGCCCAGTAAACTAATGTCTACTCGACGAATATACTTATATCAACATTGTGTATGCATTTTCTAATACTTTTTCTATTTTAAGCATTTAAAATACTTTGAACAAATCTAGCAGTTAATAAATACTTGCAAATTCTCGCCATTATGCAAAAGATAAGAAGATTTAAAGATTTTATCTTGTTGCATAACTAATGAATATGATTTAACTAATTATCATTGCATTTCAAGTTACAATCGGACAAAATTATAATTTTATACTCGATAATAGTTATTATTTTATATATGCGAGATATCAAATTATTATATTCCTGGCGTCAAACTAGAACTATCTTTAAAACACGGATTCAATCGCCCAGATACGTGACCCAATTAAACTCACTGTCTCGATTTGGATATTATTGTTTATTTTATATCGCATTTGCAACATAAAGTATAGCATATTTTAGATTGTTTTATGAACCAATCATTGTAAGATTATTTATTTCATTTCAAATTTAGAGAGAAGGCAATGCCATTATAAGTCAATTAAAGTAAAAAATAAAAATAAAAATAGTAAAAATATATTTGAGCATCATAATTACTTATACAAATATAAATATTTAGTTCTTGATACAAAATAGAATTAATTAAAGAATTAAGAGAAAATTTTTAACAATGCAATTATGATAGCTTTTATAATGATTAATAGAATTAAATTAAATTATGCTTATTATGCTTATAATATTATTCTAATCAAAGTTTATAAACATCTTTAATAAGTGCAAGTGTATGTGAGGTATATGTGCGTGTGTATGTAAAAATGTAATGTATGATACATGACTAATTTTAATAAATTACTATAAAAAATAATTTTTAATTTGTCTATCATAAATTGCTCAATGTGACAATTTACATAAAAAGAGATATTCTATATTAAAACACTGTAAACATTCATTAATTAGTCTTCGGTATATATAAATTAAATAATATTCATTCACTTTTTCATTATTTTATTTATAGATACATTTTAGAAGCTACATCTTTAAAAAATACATTTTGTTACTAAAGTAAGAAGTTAAACTAATAATATTTATATTATTCGAAAAGATATAAAAGCCAATTGCAAGCATATAAAATAATATAATTATAAATCAAATATTTTACAGACATTTTTCAAATATTAATAATAAAAATAAAGATAGAATTTACAACTTCAACTATCTATATATAACGAAGTATAAGGGAACAGTTCAGTTTATTATTACGTCAGTAAAAAAAATCAAATACATATATGAAAGTCACAACAACTGTACTTTAATCTTGTTCGAGAAAGTTTGTAATTTGAACGTTATACTTAACCCCAAGTACCTAATAGTTTTGATAGCTTTCCAGTTATAAAATCGATTAAGGACTTAATAAAGATACCATAGCAACAAGGCTACATTTAATGTGTGTGTGTATATATATATTATAGTTTTGTATATGTGTTCAACATAATTTTGATCAAAATTTATAACTGAAACATTCGAATATTTACTTAAAAATACTATGTGTAATAAATGAAGGAAATCCATTTAATCAAAGACTTTAAATTTCAATGTATTGTATATGAGTTTGATATTTTTAAAGGTTTTATAGTTGTTTCATAATTTAATTGCATTCAATTAAAGTTTTCTATATTAAAATTATAATTTACAATGAATTAAATTTATATTCATAAAATACAAATCTAATTTATATCAGAATTTGTAATTAAAATATTTAAGAAAAGTAATTTAACAAATTAAGTCAACTGAGATGCGGTAGAAATTATTTTGTTTTATGAAATAATTTAATAAAATATTTCATAATTCAAAACAGCTAATTTTGTAATTTTATGATTATAACAATATTATACTCTAGTCGACTCTCTAATTGTAAAGGAAAAATTAATTGAAACAGACAATTGAAGAAATAATTTAACAAAGAACAAAAGCCTGCAATTTTTAGACATAAGTTTTTATCATTTTATGCTGTTTCAAATATAATTAATCAATGAAAAATCAGATCGTGAATTTATAAACATCTATAAATGATATTTTGTTTGATGTATTAAAGCATATAAATAAGTTGTAAACAAAATTAAAATAATAATCTTAAACTCAGCCTAGTGAAAGTTTGATTTAGGTATATACTAGACAAGTGTTGTATATATGTTGGCAATAAAAAGTAAAACAGTACATACTAATTCATTATTCGTAGCTTTTTGAATAATAATTAATTTTAAATGTTTAAATGTTCTTAGCCTCGACTCAATGGATAAAAAGAAATTATATTTGTATTTGTATAATGAATAAGTGAGATTTAAGAAAAAATAATAAACAATAAACAATACTAATTTCATTATTTAATTGCAATTTAATGCCATGTATTAAGTAAAATGTTATATAATCAATGTGTGCGTGCGTGTGCGTGCGCGCGCGCGCGCGCGCGTGTGTGTGTGTGTGTGTGTGTGTGTACGGACAGCAATCGGTAATTAGTATCAACGTTAGAAATTTCATTTTTCAAATTACATAAATTCAAATCTTATTACATCTTCATTTAGTTTAATAAAAAATAAATTTGAAAATTAATTAAAGATTTTTATGTAGATACTATCTTGTTAGAAATTTCAACATAATTTTCTTTTTAAACAATTATTTTTCATAAATTTTTTTATTTTGTTTCAAAATTTAACTATTAAATAAATATAAGATAAGACCTTATATTAGTTTAATCGAAGTCTTTTATTTTAATAATTGATTGAATTTTCGTTTCAATATACTACTGAATAAATAATTTTTTTAATTTTCAACTATCTTTTGGGATAAAAACCTTTTATAATAAATAGTAGTTTATCAAAATATAGGTAAAAAAAAGAGTCATAAATATTGAAAAGTAAAGTTACATTATTTA